TACAAAAGTAAACAGGCTATTTCATTGTTTTGTATTAGTAATCAGAAGAGATATTCACACTTCCTTTTTCATAGAAAGTAACAGTTGTTTCTTTTTTTAATGTGCTGACTGTTGACAAATAGAAAACAAAATTGTGTGTCAAAGTCAAAACAATAATGAGAGTAGGAAAGGAATATCCTGCTGGGGGAATTAATGACAAATGCAACTTAATCCTTCATACCCAGCAAGATGGAGAACAAGTTTTTGTTGAAAGCGTAGGAAGATGTTTGAAGCAAAGCAGATAAATGTAGCAAGAACTTATGGCTCAAAGATAAGTGATTATTCCCTATTGCTTGTTGTAAGTCAGACATTAATCTTAGCACTTAATCAATCAATTCTCATTTGTTCCTGACAACAGGAACCTAGGGTTTCGTACTCAGTGAAAGCCTCTCCTGTGCCGAGACCATTAGGCCAATGGAGACATCAGTGACTAAGGCACACACTGAGCAGTTCCACTCTTATTCCCATTTACAACAGGAACCATGAAAGCACAGGGAGCCCAGAGAACTATGCAGACACTGTTGACTCCACCATGAGAGAAAATACCAGTCTGAATCTTCAACTGTCACCTGCTATCTGGGGATATTTCTGAACAAAAGACCCAGAGCTGCCTCTGGACTGATCTGTATGTTCCAGTAAGTTAACTCCTTCTGGTGAAATGGCAGCTTCTTTCTCTTCAGATCTCCTCATTGTCCTTGTCTGAAAAGTGCTATTTGGTTAAGTCAGACATGGTGCTTAGTAACCTTGTTCATTCCATGGACATGTCTTGTTGTCTAGTTTTTGTCTTCAGAGTATATGTTCATTAATTTGAATATATTTGGTAAAATTTTGTGCACCCTAGCTATAAGTCTGAGGACATGAGCTGAAGATAAATGAAATAAGGAACTGAATAGAATGGAATGAGAAAGCTATGGCTCAGATTTCACAGCTCTAAAGTTTCTCTACAGAGATTAGTGCCATGAAAATTGTAGGATACCTGGAGAATTGAAGAGTGGGGCATGTTGCAAGATGACTCAGTTGAGAAACTTTTATTTATGGGGAAATAGCCTTGGCTTCTGTTTTGATTATACTAAGTTCCCTTAAGTATTTGGTCTCAAATACTGTGCAGTGTCACAATAGATGTAGAGAAGAGGGATTGGGATTAAAAGAGTATTTTTGCAGAAGTAGAAAACAATTTCACAAAAACAGCATAGAACTGAAGCTAGTATGCCTTTGACTTTTGTTTTTTTTTTCAATGGATCTGCACTAATGTAATCACAGTGAATTATCTTTTGGAGCTTTTTGGATCTCCTCATACAAAAATGCTGAATAATGACTTAATACTTTTATGTATGTCAACTGAGAGGGCTTTAAATTCTCTATTTTCATTGGATGCCTGAAATTTGACCTTCAAAATTACAGCTTTATTAAGCTTGAAATCCAAATGTATTTTGAGTCCCTGGTTCAATGCTTTTTTTTTTTTTTTTTTTTTTTTTAAATTTTATTTAAGGAGAAAAGAAAGAAAGCAGGGAAAGGGTACAAGTTATACAGATTTACAGAAAAAAAAATGAACAGTAGGAAATCACTAGTTAATGGATTACATATTGTCATCTTAGAAATAATTGTTCAAGTCACAAAATTAAAGCTTGTAAAGTGGACATTCCATCAATTATACTGCAAACAGTTCTGTTCATTGATCCAATAAAACTCTGCGATATCATTTTCTATCTTATACACTTAAATATACATGCAGTTATATAGTTTGGAGCACTTTCTTTTCCTCTCTTTTGTACCATGACTATTACACATTTTGGGTTTCATTGCTCCCACGGTTCTTATTACTTTTTTGGAAGAGAGTAAAACCAAATGTGACATAACAGAACAGAATCGGTCAAGTCAAAAGGGTGGACATAATAGATAATGTAAAAACATAATACAAGGTGATTAACAATGGTTACCATAATGCCTCCCACTATCTCTAATAGAATTGCCTGTATCATTAGTTATAATACAATTGAACAAAATAGTAAAGAATAAAACCGACAAAACCAAAACATTGGAGACATTGTAGGTCTTCAAAAGTAGATAAAAGTCAACAAGAATGGGCGTCATAATGAATCTCATTATCTTCACAGCTGATGCCTAAACTTTCGAACCTGATACTATCCAGCAAAACAGAATAGGGGAACATCAGTTAAAAACCAGATGGTGAGAGTATTACAGGGCTTTAAATCAAGGTAATGAAAAGTCAAAGTGGGTTACTATAATATATCCTGCTATTTTTTTCCTTTAATTAAAAAGATAAAGATAAAAAAGTAAATAATGGAGTGGAGATTGAGATAAAAGAGGGCATAACAACGAAACAGCGCAGATCAAAACATAACCATTTAAGCAGAATAGTGTTTCACCACCAGATAATCCTAACCTAAAAGTAGTTACCATATTGTTTCTTTCTTTGAAATCCTTGAGTACAACTTCATATACTGTAGCATTAAGTATATCAAAACAATGTAAGACCATTCAAGAGAATGACAGCGTTACAGAGTATTTAGAATTGACTAACAAAATGAACAATGGTTTCTGTATAATCTCCTTGTCTTTAAAAGATTTTTGCTTATACTATCGTATATAATAAAATCCAAAATAGGTTCAATGCTTTTTGCCAGAGACTCTTCCCAATGTTCTTTTTTCATTGTTGTATTCTCTTGTCTAACCTTTCGTAACTCAGAAATATAGGTTTTATTAACTGACCCATTTCCTTTTTAGCCTTCATATCTATAATTTATGTGACTTCTTTAAGCAGTGAAATCATCATGAAATGGATGTAGGGTTGTTCAACCTCTATCACTTTAGGAGCTGTGCTATATATATATATATATATATATATATATATATATATATATAGAGAGAGAGAGAGAGAGAGAGAGAGAGATCTATATCTCTATCTATCTATCTATCTATCTATATATATATATATATTTTTTTTTTCCATGTTCTTGGTAGTGTGGTTTGAACCTAGGCCCTTTTCATTGAGAATAGGCACAGCCCTTTGTTTAGTTTTTATGCTGAGACAGAGCATCACTAGTTGTTTATGAATAATTGGTAGCCAAACTGGATTCAAACTCCCACAATGCTAGGATCATACCAATCAACACTTATGAGAGGAAAACTGATTGTTATTTCTAGAGAAATAACATCATTACATACTGAAAATGTGAATTGATATGGAATAGATATATGGATGCTTTTTATTCATCAAAGTTCTTTAACGAGTTTATTGCAAGATTATATTGAAGATTCACAAAAGAGAACAATTAGTTGAGTTGGAGAACTGTTTCATCAGATTTCAATTTGTGTCAATAAGACTATTAGTGAGAAACCAACGACTGGGTAGTAATCAAAGACTCATTCGCTTCTATTGTGACTGTGATCTTCAAGAATGGGCAAAAAGTGCTGTATCCATTCTTTCCTTATTTCCTCACATGTTAAGGACAGAATTTTAATTTCTTAATGTGGTCCAAGTCCTTCTCTCTATACTGTTAATATATATTCATGATGCTTTAACTGAAAATAGCAAAACGTGTTATATGTAAAATTGCATTTTGACTTTGGTAGAAAATTATTTTCATAAAATGAATTCTAAATTAAATTTGGTTGTTTTTCCTGTGAAAAGTATCATTAGTACATTGTTGTACAAATGAAGGATGGTGTTATTGAAAGAACTTGTCATTGCTTCACCCAGTTACAATTTCTGTTCCATTTTGTTGGCCCTTAAGTATCAGATGAGAATACATATGGACTAATTAAGTATGGAAGGAAGTGATTTTTTTTTGCCTAGAGTGTAAGGCCATGAAAACACATCCTTCTGATTCACTAGAAGTGCCATAGGCACCTTTGCAGTCATATGTGGAAGATGTCAAGGCCAAAACGTTGACATCACTTACATACAGGAGTCACCACATAATTGTAGGCTGAAGAACCACTGATGTGAACAGGAATTCCTGCACTGAGCTCTAATGTAGAAGAAACAGACACTGGCACTAATCACTAGAGGTTTTATAATCTGTCAATTTGATGACAGATGTGTTTTAAAAGTGTCCTAATAATTAATATTTCTTACAAAAATATCAGACTCTAGAAACTTCCGATACTCCTATAGAATTTCTAATGAAACATCAGAAACTGTAACATTATTGGTAGAAAACAAAGGACATATTTTCTACATAGGTGTTTATTCATAATGAATAATGCCCAGTATACGGTGCAAACAATGTCATGTTTGGATTTCAGATATATTTCAGCTGCAACAAAACCTGAGCTGAGTTTGCCTTGGGACTCTGGAAAATTAGAGCAGGGCTAGAGACAAAAATAGAGCTTGCTTCTTCACTTGCTAACTTTTCCCAGGGAAGTGCTAAGAGAGAAGCAGTGTGGAATGTCTACCCTGTCAGTCTCCCAAGGTGAGGAAATGTGTTCATTTTTTGTTTAGGGCACAGATGTTTCCTTTCAAATTTTTCAGGAAAGCAAATCCCAAGGATAGAGAAACCGAGTTTCTGCCTGTGCCATCTTTAGGTGGTCCTGCTTCTGAGCTAGGTTCCCGAAGTGTAGTTCACAGACCACCTCAACCTCAACAGCAAGCTTGTCCGCGATGAGATGGGAGATATGCTGCCTTAGTTGGCTGGTGTCTTGTTGAGTGCCAGGAAAGTATCTCCTTTTTTCCAAGGAGAGTAGAAACTGGTTCTGCCCTTTAGGCATTTCTGAGGCGGATCACTAGCAGCTCCATCGGAACAGACCTGCTTCCCTGGCTTCTAGGCCCCAGGGCAGGCTCCAGGCAGATGAGCAGGCAGGGCTGCAGCTGGGCCTCCTTCCCTGCTGCCCTCAGGAGACAGCTGTGGGGCTCTGTGTGCTCCGCGTTTTAGCGGGCGGCCGCGAGGGGGCGCGCGGGCACCGCCGCAGGAGGCAGCGGCCTGGGTGGGGAAGGGCGGAGCTGTGGGCCCCGAGGGAAGTGGGAAGCTGCGCTGCTAGGCCGCGGTTTCCGCGGGTGCAGCTGCCAGCGAGGCCCCTGCGCGGCTCCTCCGTCAGGTTCGGAGCTGAAGCATTGAGTCAGAGGGACCGGGCGCCCGGAGCGGCCCGGCAGCGGCTCAGCCGCAGCACCCGCTGGGCTGGGCCCGGGCAGCGTCTCCGGACCTCTCTGTGAGGAGGCGCTGTTTCCCTCCCGGAGCACTTTCCCGAGGGCGCGGGCCTCGGGAGCGCGGGCTGCGGCGTGGAGGGCGCGCGGGTCGCCCGGGTGGTGGTGGCGGCAGAAAGGGGCTTGAGGGACGGGAAGGCTCGGGGAATTCGAGGGAGAGGACGCCAGGGGGCTTTGGAGCTCAGCGCTGTGAGGATGAGAGCACTGACAGGACCGCCCTCAGCTTCTCCGGACTCAGGTGCCTCCTCAGACAAGGTTAGAGGGCTTTGAGAGGCGAGGCTTCCTTCAGGGATCTGGGCTCAGGGCTGTAGAAGTCAGGGTGAGGCTGAGGGCTGCAGAGAGAAGGCTTAGAGCCCTGTGCCCAGGGTCTTCACAGGCGCCCAGCCACGTGTGCGAAAGTGTGTTCTGGGGATTTAGCTCATGGCATAAGAACCTGCTTTGTAAGCAGGCGGTCCTGAGTTCGATCCCTGGTATGGATAAAAATGAAAGTGTCTTCTGTGCGAGGGTGAACTTAGTCCTTTTTTATGATCCTGATTTTGTTTCAGTTTTTAACTCTCCTTTCACTTGGACAGTGTACAGTTTCTCTGGATATGCGTTTTTCATGTTGTATTTTCAGGTCTTCTCAGTGCCTGTGGTCCTGTGTTGAGAGAGAGATTCATAGATCCAGTTCCCTATTTTCCTACTCTAGGGGAAGTGTGACCTTTTTATGACTTTGGTTATTTTTAGGTACATATGCGTTTGAAAGATTGGTAATTCTAGGAAGATTGTAGGGTTAATACAAAAGCCTCATAAAGTCCATCTGTACAACAAAGGTAATGTGTTTTCAGACTCCTAAATGCAAGGAGTGTTAAAATGACAGGAGTAAGTTATTCTGCCCAGCGTTACTGAGAATGCTTATATTATCAATAGTATTGTTTTTAGGATGGGTGAAAGAGTTACCTGTTTTAGCTCCCCAAAAGAAGAACAAAGGAGAAATTGATACGTTAAATATAATGATGTTCATTACCTTAGTTGCCTTCAACTGCAGGAGACATGTATGCAAATATAGAAAAGCCAGGCACCCAGCAAATAACCAATGGCATTTGTAGATCACTCTCCTTTTTACTTCTGAATCATTAACACTTCCTGTCTCATCACCACCTTGACCTGTGCCTGAAGGTTCATCATTGTCCAGAGCAAATGTGGGGAAAGTACATCCCATACATGATGCTCAATAACATTAGCCTTAAAACAAAACAAAACAAAAACTGGTTTCAGAAACTTTAAAGTATCATGGAGACTTTTTTGATCAAATTTGTTTTTCTGGGCAGTATTTTGTTGCTTTCTCAATTACTTTTAAGTTTATAGCTAGATAACATATTAGCAGTGAAAACACGAAGGTCCTGAGTCATTAATTTCAGGATTTGTCACTGAATCATTTTTCACTTCTGCTCTGAACATTCCTACAAAGCTATCACTGCGTTAGAGTAGACTGCAACAGGAGAAAATGACGGCAAATCTGACTCTGATAAAAAACCTAAACCAAAAAAAAGAGAGAAAGAATTTGACTCTTCTGTTGAAAGACTGTGGATTTCCTTGTGTCCTGTTACTGACCTCCCACCTATTCCAGTGTCTTCTCTGTATTAATTCTATTGATGAGCTGTGTTGTCCCTCCCTTCCAATCCATAACACTTTGTGTCACACTGATTTTCCTAGAAAGTTTAGGTCCCTTTATTATCTCTTGCCTTGTGTATTTGATTTTGCTTACTTGGATTTAAATTCCTCAAAGACAGGGGCCTGAAACTCTTAGTTTTCAGACATGTTTAATAAAGCACATCTACTAGCTGCGCAGCAATTGTTAACACTAGTGGCTATATAAATCTAGTTGAATGTGAGACTTCCGTTTTGTCCTTGTGTCATAAATATTTTATTTTCCAAAGTAAACATTTAAATAAAGAATACAAATAACTTAATTCATAAATTAATAAATTATTTCCAACTGTGGGACTCTACTTTTAAATGCAGTACATTTCTTGCCAGTCACTGAATGAAAATTCCTGAAGGCATTGTCCTGTCTCAGGGTCACAGAATGGCAGATTTTCAGTCTTGAAAGTAATCTGTAAGTCTGTTAATGATGGAAAAGTTCTACTGTCCAGGCACAAATGCTGTTCTCCTTGGCACTCAGGTACCTGCTGATCTTCCAGTCATAGCTCTTCAGGAGCAGAGTGGTCCTGGTGTCACTCATGGTCATGTTTTTTCCTCCAGTCTTTCCTGCAGGATCATTGACTTCAGATGATCCATCTGCTGATGGAGTTCATCAAGGAGGTTCTCCAAAATGGTCCCATTCCACATAGTGTTGGAGATGTTTTTTCTGAAAATACCGAAGATGTTCTTAAGCATCTCTTGGATGACAAGATCAGCCTTCTCCTTCTGGAACTGCTGTGGTTGCTTGATCTCTTCTGGAAATTTGAAATCGATCCTGTCCTGGTGGCAGTTTTCAGGCTTTCTTTTCACCTGCTTGAGAAGCTGCAGACAGGCCAAACTGCTGCTGCGTTGTTGTTGCTGGAGTTGAAGCAAGTTGTAACTTAAGGAAAGAGATGTCATGAAGGACAGCAGGAGAGCGATTTGGAGAATACATCTGATGGCCATGATGAGAACAGGAATGGTGTTTTCTGTTACCTGCACGGTGGAGCAAAGTCTCAAAAGTCTGCAGTGTGTGAGTGTCCTTCCTCCATGGGTGCAATCTGTTTATATGGGATGGTGCTCTCTGTTTCATAGGAATTTCCTGCTTTCTGTTCTCCCTTTCAGTTTTTCTGTATCATTTTTTTCTACATTTGATCACATTTGTGGCTCCATTTGCAGTAATAATCTGAATACAGTTGGTATATATTGTTACATTTGTAACAGTTAACTCACAACTGCCTGCTTGCAAGGCAGGTGCTTATGCTGCTGAGCTAAATTCCCAGCCCCTCCTTTTTCACATATTAAGCACCCTTGCTTAAAATTCTTCTTCCCATGGCCTAGGATTTAGCTGAGTCTCATAGGCGCCTTGCAAGTGCAAGGTTGTGAGTGCTATCCTAGGTACCAAAACCAAACAAACAACACCAAAATTTCTCTTCTGGTCTTTGTAACATCACTACTATGTTTTTTCTATTGTTTTGCTTTGTCTCTTAGTGTGTCTTACCATTTTCCTACTAAATTAGGGTTTTAAAAATGTGTTGGGATGGCTTAGAAAAAAGTGTTAGATAGTCCTATGATTAAGTCTCAGTTTTGTTTTGCTTTGGTTTAACTTTTATTTCCTTGTGTTTTTGGTCTGCTTAGTGAGCTTTATTTTATAGAAAAAAGTAAAACAAACTTTCATAAAAAAGTAATAGGGGAATAACAATTGTTAACACATTGTGTATTTGTATCTTTACTTACTCAGAATATTTTTAGTTAATCAGTGTACATGACATGGACCTAAAATATTCTCCTAAAAGATATTAGTACCAAGCCTTTTCTTTACAAAGGACTAAGAGAAACTAGTATAACTACTTAAAAAATTTTTTTTCCATTTCCTCGTGGCTCAGGTTCTTAGTGAGTCTATGCCACTGAAGTGTGAAGTTTACCAGTGTTTGTCTGAACATCTCCATCCCTTACCTCCATTTCTCTTTCCCTTAACCTTGGAGTGTGTCCCTCACCCACATGGGAAAGGTCTGCTGTTGGTGTTCCTTTCAGTGTAGTCAGTTGGCCTCTTGTAATACCTCCAGCAGGTAGGGCTGTGAGTAGCTACTTTCTCCCCAGGGCAAATATTGTTAGGAAGAATGGGATACTACACAATGGCCCCCTCCAACTGGAAGCACGAGGAAACTTTTCTTTGATGTTTCAACTCTAAGAGCATAAGAGTCTTTCTATAACTAGTTCTTCTAAAGTTTCAAAGTCGTCATTTTAAACCTTCAGCGATTTTCATTTTCTGTTCACATTTCTCTAACTTCCTACTGAATGTGCAGTGTTTTCCAAATGCAAGGTCCTGTTTCCAGGCAGCTGTGACTCCTGATTCTCATCTGTTTGTCTCTGAGATCTTGGATATTCATTCAGAATCCCATTGAGAACATAAAGTTCTTCAATATTAAGTAATATATATGTTAAAACTAAAGTCGAAGGAGTATATGTTGCCATTTTAGGAGGTATTCTTAAATATGAAAAATGTTCTACTATTGCCTTAATAAATTTGGTGTTTTCTGAGATTCACTCCAAGATATTTTATCCCATCATATTTTATACTTTGTTATGGATTGTTGTAGTTACTTTTTGCTCATTGCTGAGACAAAATACCTGAAGCCCAAGTTGGGAAAGAAAGGTTTATTTCTTACAGGTTTTGGAGGTTTCACTCCACACTCAGTTGATTTCAAGGCAGGCGGGCATGGCTGGGCCGCCGTTCATGGTGGCCACCAATAGGAAACAGGAACTGGCAAAGAGCAAGACACACTTTCTTCCTGCCATTACATCACATCCTGGCTCCACCCCTTTGTGGGTGGAGCTCTGACACCATCAATCTAAGCCCTAGACAATGAAGAAATAATAAATGCACAATTCAAACTCATGAAGCCTGGGGGACACAGACGTAAACCATAACATGGATGTAATCATGAACAAAAATCAATTTCAACATGTGTTCTAATTTTGAATAGGAATAATGTGCATTCCTGTATATGGTGGTTATTTTTGAACACATTTTAATTTTTCCCTTCTAATATGGCAAATGTTCATACATAGAAAGAGAATCAAAGGTTCTTTGTAGTCTCCATAATTTTAAAGATGTTTTAAGGTTGTGTCAATTCTTAGTGAATCCAAAGGATTTGAAAATTACTGGTGTTGGTAACAATTACAAGTACCTCCTTTGATGGTTAACTGGAGATGAGTATTGTGGGCTTTTGGTGTAATATTACAGTGTATTCTTTATTCCTTGTCCTGTTTCAATCACAGTAGAATAGTGTGGTGTTTTTCTGAGCAGAGATACTCACTGTGTTGGCTCCTAACTATACTTGTACACCTAGTGTAAAATCTGTCCCCTCTCGAGAGACTATGCCAATATGGATGCCAAGTAATAATTATATAGAAGTGTACATAGAGCCCAGTTGAAAACCAATACCCTCAGGCTTAGGATTTAGCTCATCAGGATAATCACCTGCCTGGCAAGACCAAGGTCATGAGTTCCATCCCAAGTACAAAAAGCAAAACAAAACAAATGAAAACAAAACAATCCGATTCCCTCTACACTAATGCAATGTGTGGGAATTTCATAAAAATTCCTAATAAAACTGGAAAGTTTGCTCAGCTGTGGAGAGTTTCTGTAAAACTCGAGAGCCACAAGCAAAAACTTATATTCCACAGTGGGAAGAATATATCTTTTGATTTCCACTTGCTGACTCGCTCACCCTTCCTTAGTGCCAGGCTGCTCCTACCAATACTCTGGTTTCTCCTTAACCACAGAAATGATCAGACGTTCGAAGAGAGAATCTCCCATCAACTGTGAAGAGGCAGACCTTGCAGGCAAGACCTATGTGCTGTTGTTTTCAAACCCTGTATTTAACCCTGCCCACAACCCAGTTGTCTTGATTCAGACCTTCAGTTAGAATGACTCTCACTGTCTAGCGTGGATGTTTGCTTCCACAGTGAAGACCATAAGTATGAGGGACAATCACCTTTCTAAGGGATGATTGCTCCTGCTGTGGGATGTACTGGAGTCTCAGCTTGGCAATCTTTGCTGGAATCCAAGGAGAATGCAGATGCACAGCAATAACTAGAGACTTCTAGGAGCTCAATGGAGTGGATAAAAAAGCTGATAGATATATGTTCCTCTGAATCTATTATCAATGAGTTTTCAGTGATGAGGTGGAAATGAGATAATTTGATTAAACTTATGGGTAATAAACCCTTGCTATGTTTTGGACACACTTATTTGTCTGCCCTTATAGAGAGTTGAACAGAGGTCTGACTCATAGTTTTAAGGTAATAAAGGATACAAATACATTAGAAAAGCAGTAATGGCATTTTTTAAATGTACTTCTTAGACACTTGTAGATCCAAATGGAAAGTCACTGTTTGTTAAGAAAAACAGCTTTTAATGTTCTGAATGTCTCTAAAGAAAAAAGAAGTCATGATTCATTCACTAGGTAAGAACTGCTTGTTTTCTGTTCTTTGTGATCTCAATCGTTTTGCTTTCTCATCTGATCTATTCATAGAAGCCATCATGGCTTTAATCATGCACCTATTTCTTGAGGTTGATTTGGGAGAATGAGGGAATAGCAAAATAACACGTACCATAATTTTAATGGGCCATGAAATACTTTGTCATGTTCTGAGTAACAGTGAGAGGTTTACCTGTACACTGTCCCATTGTGGCCTGTGACTTTTTTTTTTTTTTCATTTTTCTTCCTGTTAATTACAGGATCCTGCTTCTAATAGATTAGTTTGCCAGGGCCTGTATGTAATGTCTCATTGTGAAGGTGAAGACCTGCTATCCCAAAATATGACTTTGTGAAAATTGAGAAAACCTCAGAAGTTAGGTGATCCAACCATTTGCAAGAAATACATTTAACTGAAAAAGAAACTGATGGACTAAAAGTCAAAGGATGTAAAATGATGATCTATGCAATAGTTTACCAATTCTGTTTGTAGATAATTTGAACTTCCAACCAAAAATGATCAGAAGAGATAAAGAAGGTCACTGAATAATTTTCTGATGGGAAAGTTCAAGAGGAAATTATAACAATCATAAATATGTGTGCACCAAATATGAGAGCACCCAACTATACAAGACAGATCTTAATGTGCATGAAAAATGTGCAGTAACACAATTGTAAAAGGGACCTTCATATGCCATTGTCAAAAAGAGATAGTTCGAGTACACAAAAGGCAAATAAATCCCAACAGAGTCAAGTATGTGAACAAATGGACTTAATAGGCATTTATAGGCCATACCCAGCTTGTCTAAGTGGCTAGTAGGGCCCTGAATCAAATCTAGGGAGCTGAATATGTGTGAGTTGATTCCCAGCCCATGGAGGAAGCTTTGGAATGTGGCTGCCAGCAGGTAAGACCATGCCCAGTGACCCAAGTCACCAGAGGATGCACAAGACATTCCAGTAGGGCTAATGGGCCACATCCATTGACTTACAAGAGGCTAGAAGGGATCTGCCTTCAGTCCCAGGTTCCAAAATTGGGCCAGGTGATCTGGAGCACATGGGGAAGATTTGAAACATCACTTGAAACCAGAAATATAGGAAAATGACAAAATGAAAGAGCAAAATGCAATCTCAAACTTCCAGCCCAATCTTCTTAGCAAGCCTAGGAGATATTGACACAGAAGAAAATGTAAGCCATACACCTGAAATTCCTGAAATGATTAGAACAGAAGTAAAGAAAAAAATGTGGGAAAGTATAAAAGAACTCAGATCAAAAATAATCTCTCAGATAAAAGAAGAAATGATAAATGAAAGAACTGCCAACCACATCTAAAAAACACATAGTTTAAAAATTACAGAAACACCACCAAAAGATAGAAACCTTGAATGAACAATATAAGAAACAAACAGAATGCATGAAACAAATTCAAAGAGATGTACAGGAAATCAAAAATTCCTTTGAAAGTTGTCAAAACCCCCTCAACAAAAGTGAAGGTAGAATTTCACCTTGAAGTCAAGATTGCAGCTAGTGAACAGGAAAGGAAAGATCTTTTAAAAATAACAAGAAATCAGAAAATAACAGTTCAACACCTGGAGAATGATGCAAAGAAAAGCAACATAAGATTGATAGCTATAAATGAAATAGAAGGTGACCACACACATGATAACAAGAGGCTATTTACAGAAGAAATAGCTGAAAATTTCCCAAACATGAGAATGGAAAATGACATAAAGATCAGTGAACATATAGAACTTCAAATAGCCATAACCAAAATGAAACCAAACTAAAACATGTAATAAGTAACATCCTGGAAATCCAACATAAGAACAGTCTATTAAAAGCTGCTAGAGAGAAGAAAAAGATCACCTATAAAGGAGAGACTATCAGAATCACAGCACACTTCTCAAAAGAAACAATGAAGTCAAGAAGAGAGAGCATGGAGTGAGGTATTTCAGATCCTAAAGGAAAATGATTTCCAATCCAAACTGATGTACCCTGCAAAATTGTCCTTCAAAATGGATGGAGAAATAAGATATTTCCAGGAAAAAAAAGCTGAAGAATTTCATGACCACCAAACCAATCATGCAAAGAATACTGAAAGACACTCGATAGACATGGGGAAAATCCACTATGCAAGACAAACAAGTGAAACAGCAGAAAGATAACATATCAAAACTAAACCAACATGTATCAGTTGTAACCATTAATGCAAATGGCCTCCATTCACTAATTAAAAGAAACAGACTGGCAGAATGGAACAAGAAACAAAATCCAACCAAATACTGTCTACAAGAAACCCATCTAACGCAAGGAAAAGTCTTAGAAAGTCCCAGAGTGGAAAACAATACTTCATGCAACAGGAATCTCCTAAAAAAACCATGGATAACTATTCTATTTGCAGACAATGTGAACTTCAAGAATGACGCAAAGAGATATAGATGGTCAGTACATACTATTTAGGGGAAATCTTCAAGAGGAAGAGAACAATCTTAAATACATATGCACCAAATTTGGGAGCACCTAGCTATATAAAACAAATATTAACAGAAATGAAAAATCACATAACCAATAATACAATTAAAACAGGAGACCTTAATACACCATTGCCACAAAGGGACAGATCAACTAGACAGAAAATCAACCAAAAAATAGCAGAAGTGAATCACACCTGTGAACAAATGGACTTGGTGGACATATACAAAGTGTTCCACCCAACAACATCAGAATATACATTTTTTCAGCAGCACGTGGAACGTTCTCTAAAATAGACCACATCTTAGCCCACAAAATATGCTTATGTAAATGCAAAAGGAGAAATTATTCTATGCATGTTATCAGATCATGGCACCATGAAACTAGGAATTAATGACAAAAGAAACTGCAAAAACCCTAGAAACATATGGAAATTGAATAATACACTCCTGAGCACTCAGTGGGTCACAGAGGAAATTAAAGAGGATACTAAACAATATCTACAAGCAAACAAAAATAGAAATACATCTTACTGGAACTGTGGGACACAATGAAATCAGTCTTCAGTGGAAAATAAATTGCATTCAATTCCCACATCAGGAAAACAGAATGAACACAGATAAACAACCTGATGCTACACCTCAAACATCTAGAAAAAGAAGAGCAAGACAAGCCCAAAGCCAAAAGAAGGGAGGAAATTATAAAGATCAGAGTATAAATCAAGGCAGTAGAGACTAAGAAAACAACCCAAACAATCAATGAATCAAAGAGTTGGTTCTTTGAAAGAATAAAAAAATTGATAAAATTGATAAGCATCTAGCCAACCTTATTTTAAAAAGGACAGAAAAAGTTCATGCAATAAGGAATGAAAAGCATGAAATCACTATAGACCTTCTGAAAATACAGAAGATCATCAATACCTACTTTGTAAACCTCTACTGCCATAGATTAGATAACATAAGAAATGGACAGATTGCTAGAAAAATGAACTACCAAAGCTGGATCAAGAAGATGTAAAACTGCTGAATATCCCAATTTCAATTAAGAAAATTAAAAATGTAATTAAATCCTTGCCAACAAAGATAAGACCAGGTCTAGACTGATTCACTGTGGAATTTTACAAGAAATTAAAAGAAGATTTAATGTTGACACTCCTCAAACCCTTCAATGAAATTGAAAGGCATGTAATTGTCCCTAACTCATTCCTGGAAGCAAATATTACTTTAATCCCAAAAACTTGAGAAAGACCCAACCAAAAAAGAACACTACAGGTCCATCTCCCTTAATGAATGTGGATGCAAAAATTCTCAATGAAATTTTGGTAAACAGAATGCAGCAAATCATCAAGAAGATTATTCACCATGATCAATGTGATTCATCTCAGGAATGCAGGAATGGTTCAACATATGCAAATCAAGAAATGTAATGAACCACACCCATAAAGCCAAAAGTAAGAATCACATGATCATTTCTATAGGTGCAGAAAAAACTTTTGATAAGGTCCGACACTAATTCATGGTGAGAAACTTACAGAAAATTGGAATACATGGTCTTCACCTCAATATGATAAAACCCATCTAAGACAAATCAACAGCCAGCATTATATTAAATGTCCAAAAACTGAAAACCTTTACCTTAAAATCAGGCATAAGACAAAGATGTCCATTACACCACTCCTATTCATTATAGTGCTGGAAGTACTATTTAGAGCAATTAAGAGAGAACAATAAAAGGAGTAAGTATAGGAAAAGAAGAAGTAAAATTATTATTTGCAGGTGACATGATACTCTACATTAAAAAACTCCAAAATTCATTGAAATACTCCTAGGTATAAGAAATAAATTCAGTAATGTAGCAGGATACAAAGTCAACACTCCAAAATTAATAGTATTCCTCTACACTAACAATAAAATTATTGAGTGAGAAATGAGAGAAGCCACACCATTCACAATAGCATCCAAAAAAATGAAATACTTAGAAATCCATCTAACAAAAGTAAAAAATCTGTTCAAGGAAAATTATAATACCCTGAAAAAAATCGAAGAGGAGCTCAGAAAATGGAAACATGTCCCTTGTTCATGGATAAGAAGAACAAACATAGTGAAAATGGCCATTCTCCCAAAATTGTTATACAGGTTCAATGAAATACCAATCAAAATACCACTAGCATACCTCACAGATTTAGAGAAATCACTCTTAAAATTCATCTGGAACAGAAGAGACCTAGAACAGCAAAGGCAATTCTAAGTTACAAAGTTAAGGCAGGAGGCATCAAAATCCCTGACTTGAAGTTATACTACAAAGCTACTGTAATAATGTCAGCATGGTACTTGAATAAAAACAGACCTGAAGAACAATGGAATGCATTAGAAGATTCAACTACAACTACAAACACACTCAGCCACCTTATCTTTGATACAGGAGCCAAACATGTCCACTGGAAGAAAGATAGTCTGTTCAATAAATGGTGCAGAAAAATTGGCTCTCTATATGCCGAAAACTAAAACCCATGCCTATCTCCATGTACTAAGCTAAACCAAATGAATCAAAGATCTAAATATTAACAAAACACTAAATCTGTTGGAAGACAAAGTAGGACGAAATCTTGAAGTCATAGGAGTAGGCAAAGAATTCATGAACAAATACTTCACAGAATCAGTAACTGGGATCATGACATATTTAAAAGTTTCTGCATATCAAAAACATGTTCAGCATAGTCAAAAGAAAATCCACAAATTGGGAAAAAATCTTAGAGAACTGTCCCTCACACAAAGGATTTCTATCTAGAACATATAAGAATTTAAAAAACACCAGATCCCTGAAATTAAAATACCCAATCCAAAAATGGTCATCTGAAATGAATACAGAGTTAGATGAAAAAATAAAACTGTCAAATAAATGCATGAAAAAATGTGCATCATCATTGGTCGTTAGAGAAATACAAATTAAAACCACACTGAAATTGAATCTCACTGCAGAGAGAATGGTCATGATCTAGAAAACTGCCACTAACAAATTCTGGCAAGGTTGCGCCTCAAAAGAAACTGTTCTGCACTATTGGTGGGAGTGGAGACTGATGTAACCACTGTGGGGGTCAGTCTGGAGATTTCTCAGAAAGCTGTCTTTTGAAGTCCCATTTGAGACAGCTATTGCACTTCTTGGCATATTCCCTAAGTGCATCCATATTTATAGCAGCAGCACTATTTATAATAGCCAGATGTTGGAAACAACCTAAATTCTTATCAACTGAGTAATGGATAAAAAAGTGGTATTTTTATACAACGGAGTATTACTCAGCTGTAAAGAATGATCACATTGAGGTATTTATAAGTAAATTGATACAACTCAAGACCATAGTCATAAGTGAAATAAACTATCATGTGTAAATACTGTATAGTCTCCCTAGTGTAAGAAATGGTACATACGTAAGGTACAAAATACTCAGCAAATACAGTAAAAGGACAAGAATCTGCATAAAGGGGAAAAATAATATCTCAGGGAACATGAGGGAAAAAAAAGGAAACTAAAAAAATGTAAAATTATATAAACACACTTAGGATATTTAAGATCATTGTGCTACAAATTCTATGGTCTTGGAGCAAAACAGTTAACATTCATAGGATTGGAACCATTGTGCATATTACTGTATGGCGATCTGAGGAACTCTTGCGGATCATCATGTAAAATAACAACCTTAGTTATGCTCCTACCACCTTGTTTTGAAGATGTATATTGTCAGTGTTTTGAGCACTTTGCTATTGTTATTTATTTATTTTGTTTTGTTTTGTATTTTTCTAGGCATTTGTTTTGTTTTTCCATCTAATGCAGAAAGGATAGATAGATATACATGTAGAGGCTCATACATGTATGTAACTTCTAAGTAGTTTATGAACTTCTAAGCAGTTTAATTCATTATATAATGCATGGTGAAATGAACAGCTGCTATGAAGAAAACTAGATACTATGGTATCCAGTGCTGATTTCGTAAGGTCATGCTGTGAAATCCAGTAATACTATTATTATTTGTTTAGAGTGATTTTATTGTTTGTTGTTAATTTCAACATACATGAGGATACAGACAGCTATTTTGAAGAGAACAAGAGAGATTAGTGCAGCCATTGTTAATTTCCCTATTGTCTGATTTTGAAGGCCTATAATGCCTTTATCATTGTGTTCTGATCAGTTTAATACTATTTTGTTGTGCATGAATTCATTGTGTGTGAAGATATGGACAACTGTTTAGAAGAAAACAATAGACACTATGATAGCCAATGATGATCTCTTGTCTTGCTTTGAAATTTGTGTTACTTACATTGTTTTCTTCTGATCTGCTTTGTTCTGTTTTCTTATGCTTAGTTTTACCCTCTTTAAAATAAAAAGTTAAAAAACTTACATCTTTCTGCTTGTGTTGTTGGTGCTGAAAATATGTATATTGAAGAAATACAAATATATTGATTATATGCAATTTTTAATGTTATTAAAATGTAACATTGTATGTTCAAAAAATATGCATTTACAGAATGTTTATCCATTGACATTCTAATACACATTTTTCTCAGCTGCACGAGGGACATTCTCTAAAATAGACAATATACAACCCAATAGAACATGCATAAATAAATGCAATTATCTCATTCATATTATCCTACCAAAATGCAATGAAATTGAAAATTAATGAATGGCAACAGATAGTCAAAAAATTTCATAACCACTTGAACATTAAATAACAACCTTATGAACAATCCATGGGTGACAGATGAAATTAAAGAAAATAATATTTGTTATCAAATGAAAATGGACATAAAACATTGGAAACTACAGAACATAATAAAAGCAGTCCTAGAAGGGAAATATATAACAGCAAGTTCTCACATCAGGAAAACGGAACAAGCACAAATAACCTAATACTGCATCTGAAGCTTGTTGAAAACGAAGAGGAATTCAAGCCCAAAAATCTGAGAAAGGAGGAAATCATGTAGATGTGTGTAGAAATTAATATGTAACTATGTATTATTAGTATATATAATTGTACAAATCTGTGCACTACCAATTTTCAAGAATCTTTACTCTCACAGAATTAGAAATACAGAAGAAAAGACATTCCTAGAAATGTATCAATTTCTAAATCAATCAAGAAGATACAAAAATTTTGAATAACCAATATGAGTTAATGAAATTGAAAACATAATTTAAAGCTAACCGACAGAGAAAAGCCCAGCTTCTTGTAGATTTACAGCTGAAATCTCCAAAAATTTAGAGAAGATTTAATGCCAATATACCTCAAATTCATTAATGAAATTGAAAGGGAAGCAGATCTCTCTAACTGCTTTCTGGAGGCAGGTATTACTCTGATCCCAAAACCAGAGAAAGACCCAATCACAAAACAGTACTACAGGCCAGTCTCTCTAATGAACTTAGATACAAATATACTCAGTAAAATAGTAGCAAACAGAATGCTGCCAATCATCAGAAAAGGGTATACACCTTGACCAAATGGTATTCATCCCAGGAATGCAGGGATGATTCAACATATGCAAATTAAAAAATGTATTATACCATATCAACAGAGCCAAAGTAAAGATTATAAGGTCATCTAAATAGATGCAGAAGAAGATTTTGAGAACGTACAATAGTCATGATAAAACCCTAGAGAAAATCTGAATAGATGGTCTCTACATTATTCTGATAAAAGCCCTCCTTGACAAACCAACAGCCAACATCAAACTAAATGGACAAAAATATTCACCTTAAAATCCGGAATAATGTAAGGATGTCAACTATCATCATTCTTGTTCAATATGGTTGTGGAAATGTTAGAACAATCGTAAAAAGAGAGAGAAATAATAAGAATAAGGATAGGAAAGTGAGAAGTTAAATTATCACTCTTTCAAAGTGATACGATACTCTACATAGAAAACCACCTAAAACCCCATCACATTACTACTACAGCTAATAAGCAAATTTTCAGTGTAGCTGGATGTAAAGTCAACATTCAAAATTCTATACCATTGTTGTACACAGCAAACTCACTGAGAGAAATTAGAGAAAAAACAACACTTTTCACAATAGCATCCAAAAATGAAATACTTAGGAATCAATCTAACGAAAGGTGTAGAATATTTGTATATTGAAAATTATAGTATTCTGGCAAAGGAGTTGTAAGAGAATGTCAGAATATGGAACGATACCCCTTGCTTATTGATAGGAAGAACTAACATTTTGTAAATGGCCATACTGCCAAAATTGGTATACAGATTTAATACAATCCTGACCAAAAACACTGTTGAAAATCAATGTAACTGATTAGAAGATGCACGTAAAACAACAAGGACCCTCAGCTGTATGTGACGTAGTAGCCAAAGTTTCTCTGGAAGAAAGGTAGCCCCTTTATTAAATGATGCTGAAATAAATCAGTATTCGACATGCCAGAGATGAGACCCATGTCTATTACTGTGCACTCACCTATACTCAAAATGAATCCAAAATCTGAATATTAAAGTAGAAACACAAAACCTACTAGATGGTAATGTACACAGAAGTCTTGAAGAAATAGTAGTAGTTCAGGAACAAAAGTCAAGTGGTTCAGGAAATATTTTAAAGAATCATCAACTGGGATCTCATCTTATTAAAAACCTTGAACATTGGAGGAGAAAAAATTTTAGCCTACTGTCCCTCATAAAAAGAAGTTATAGATGAAATATAAAAACTGAAAAATAATGAGGCCTCCCAAATTAAAGGCCCAGTCGAAAAATTCGCATCTAAGTTGTATATGTACTTCTAAAATGAAGCAATATGTGAAATATGTGAAAAAATGTTCAACATTACTGGTAATTATAGAAATGCAAATTAAAAGAACACTGAAATTCCATCTCACTCCAAAAGGAATGTCTGTCATGAAGAAATCAATTAAGAATAAGTTTGGGGGGTATGGGGCCAAAGGAATGCTTCTCTAGTGTTGGTGGGAATGTAGGCTGGTGTAACCACAGTGCAAGTCAGTGTGGAGATTCATCAATAAACTATGGTTGGAATCCCATTCAATCCAGATCTTTCTCTTCTTGACATTTCCACAGAAGAACTGAAAACATCATACCATTGCAATATATGTGTACCCATGTATATAGACGCATAACTTGTAATAGCTAAATCTTGGAAAAACCCAAATGTGCATCTACTGTGGAGTGGATAAAAAAAGATGTGCTATTTCTATACAGTGGAGTGTTACTATAAAAATGGAGAAACTCAATGCTTTTATGGGTAAATGGATGCATTTTGAGACCATACTCATAAGTGAAATAAATAAGATTCCCAAGTATAAATATCATATTGTTTCCCTAATGTAAAAAACTGAAAGAATAAATAAGATTCAAAATGTACAGTAGATGTTGTGAAACTTAAATGGAAAGAAACTGCTGAAAGACAAAAACTGGGATGTGTGAAATGAGGAAAGAGGGGAAAAGATATGTATATGCATATGTATATGTATAGATACAAGCACGCACACATCCAGAGTAGATAATTATACTACTAATTTCTTTGTATGATCATTCTCACATGCTTGTTTCTTGTAAACTGAGAAACTAATTTTAAAATGACAACATGCAATGTTTTACCTATTGTTAATCTGTTATTCTAAAATAATATATTATTATTTTGTTTAAAATTAACATATCTATTGTTCTCTCTCTCTCTCTCTCTCTCTCTATATATATATATATATATAGTTTTCTTTTTGTATTCATTGACAAAAGGTCACAACCTGTAATATTTTGTGAGCTAAATTTGTTACTTTTTTCACTTGTGATAGGTCTTTTATTATAATAGTGTTACCCAAGAGCTCTATAACTGGTGTGAGAAAGATAGTTTTCCCTGTTCTGTATATAAAGCCAACCAGGCCTGTTCCAGGCTGCACTCTCTCCCACTTTGCAATGCCACCAGCCATGGGTTGCTGCCCACCCAGCACCATCTACTGTGTCACATCAGGACCCTGACTGTGAGATTCCCAAAGTGACCCTCTGGGTTACAGGTGTCACTTTGCCCTGGCCTGGATTTACTTTTCATTTTGGATACCAGGCAGCTCTCTGGCAAATATGTGTCATTCTCAAAATCACACAAAAAATGTGAGGGCAGTTGTTTATTTCAAACCAGCTGGATGAAGGTATACCTAGAGAAATAGTAGAAAGGTTATTTCTGCATGTCTGTGGAGGTGTTTCAAGAAGGAATGACACTTGAATCAATGAATTGAAGGGAGATCAACAATTCCAACACATCCAGTCAACTGCAGTCCCAGATAAAACAAAAAAGGCAAAAAAAAAAAAAAAAAAGGCAATTATATCCTCCCTGATTGAGCTGGGAGACATGTCTTCTGTGTTAGTTAAAGATAGGTTTAATAGCCTATGCATGTCTGCTACTGCCATCGAAAAGCTTCCTTTCTGCGGGCAGCCAGGGCAGGAAGGAGATGCAGACAGACCTGTCCCTGCCATGCCCACCACCAAAGTATGGAAAGTTTACCTCTGTTAGGTAAACTGTGGCCAGGGAGTAAGAGTCAGATATGCCCCATGTGCCTGCAAGCCACCATTGGAGACCTTTCCTTCCTTCCTTCAGGAAGCCAGTGCCCACCGGAAAATCAAACATTCCCCTGTTTGGCTGCTCTCATCAGGGGAGTCCCAGTGTAGACATGCAGGTTGAGAAAAGAAGCAGCCCCACCATATCCCGACACATAGTCATTGGTGAAGCCTCAGTGTAGTTGCATGGGCTGGGCAAACCAAGACCTATACCCTGATACCCGCCTTCAGAGAAAGCCATGTGCCTGACCCATTCTCCTACACAGTGGAGAGGCAGCCAACAAAACAAGTGTCTGGGACCCCAGAACTGGCTTGTTAGGAGGAACTCAGGAAAATGTGAAGACAAAGGAGCAAAAGGTTATCTCAGACATCCAACCTACACAGAAGTCTGGAAAGTATAACATGAAAGAAAATGAAAGTCACACACATATTATCTCCCAGAGGATAGCAACTGAAGTAAAGAAACAATTTCATGAGACTGTAAAAGTCATCAGATCAGAAATAAAATTACAAGCAAATAAAATCACAATCATAATGAAAGACTGCTGAGTGTATTTAAAAAAAAACTTAGATTAAAAAAAGGAGCGTAGGAAAATGTTGGGAACCTTTACTGAACAACATAGGAAGCAACTACAATGCGTGAAACAGATTCAATGAGCTATGCAGGAAATTCAAATGTCAGTTATCAAGCTTCCAAGAAATAGGAACAGTAAGTATCAGAGTAAACAGCCTCTCTGAGAGGTATAGTCCAGGTGCTGGAATATAGTATTGTGGGAAAGACAAGAAGGAAAAAAATGTGTTCCCTTGCAAACTAATCTATTAGAAGCAGGA